GCCAACTATAATTTACTTAGTAAAATATTGCAAAAACGCAGATTGTTTGTAGAGAAAATTTGGTACAAGTGATCGTCGGGAAGAGTTATGTGATCGGCCCTGTAGTTTTTAATATCCTTATAATTATTGATAATTTTAATAGCTGATTCGATTTGGTTTTCATCTTTCTTCCAAATATTCTGACTAAAATTCATCTACAACTGGTATATCTGCTTCTCAGTAATGTTTAAATTTTTTGTACAAATACTTTTCCATAAAATTCGTGGTGTTTGTTGAATATTATTTTTAATATATTCTTTTATTTTATCTGTAATACGAACATCAATATACCTGGTATGATAATCATGAGTTAACTCAACTGTTACTTGATCTTTATTTGTATCTATGGTAAGTATTAACCAGCCTTTGCAGTAAAACTGTTCTTTTGATAAATGGTCTCTATATTTTATAGAATCTTCATGCTTTTTCAGTTTCTTTTGTTGGTCAAGTAACTGTGCATAGTAGTATCTGAATGCTATAATATGATTTGATTTCAAAGAAATCCTGTCTTTGTAACTTTAAAAAGGTTAGCTTTGCCTTTATGTAATTTAACATATTTTTATTATATCTTACTTGAATTTAAAGCTTGTAATTTCTAGGATAATATTAATGATATATGTTGCAATTTCTTTTGAGTTGATTTGAATATATTCATTAATAGCAATAACTTGTTCAAAATTCTCTATATTTTGATCTTTCACAGCTTTTAGGATAGCAAAAAATTCTTCTATTGAAATACAATTGGTGTTCATATCAGCAATTGCAAGTTTTTGTGTATTTTGTCTATTTTTTTTTTCTTTACAATTTAAACAAATTTTACTGATTTTATTATTTTTTAAAAAAAACTATAGAGGATGAAATTGATTACAGCCTTTACAAAACCGCTGTTTAATAGTAGAAGTGTGACTTGAGTTTCTAAAAGTCACTATAACTAATTAGAATAAAGGTTTTGTTAAAAAAATTTTTTTTTAGAGCATAATTTTCTTCTAAAAATTTAAGTATACAAATTTGTATGCTTAAATATACGGTTTAAGGGATAAGTCTGCATCATAATCACAATTGCATGAATTTGATTCACAAGAGCAGATGATAAATTAATAAGGTTATTAATAGCTAAATTTAGATTATATGATGCACATCCTACAAGCAGAAGATCCCAATTATTGGCAATTTTTTTGTTGGTATTGCAATTATCTTCTAAAAGAAACAAGATATCTTCGACATTTTTATCATATTATTCTAAAACATTCTAAAAAACTTAATATATGCATCTGCACTCTGAGTACTACAGTCTTCAAATAGAGAAAATACAAGTAAAACCAAATTTCTGGTTTGTGAACTATTTGATAAACACCAAATAATCTAACAAAGTGAATCTCATTATTTGTCTATCTATCAAACATAATTCTGATCTTTTTGGTAAGATATTTTTTATTTTTTCTCATATAATATCTGCCAAGCTATTAAAATATTTGCTAACTATAGCAACATCCAATCTTGAAAAACTTGTATATGCACAAAATCTAGATTTTCATAGGCGTTGAAAGGTAATTAACATTTTACAATTAGACTTATCTAATTAAAAATATTATATACACTTGTGCTATAATTAAAAATATCGGTGTTTGCTATAGAAGTAGATTCTATATATTGTTAATAAATCAATCTAAAATTTTAATGCTTTACATATAAATGATTCATTAAATTCATATATCTACTTTTTTTTGGAATATTGGTTGTGATCCAGGAGGACACAAATTACATTAGTGTTTACTATCATTTGTAGGTTTAAAAAAGGCCTCAATGTAAAACTTATTTGAAATTTTCGTAGTCATTAAAGTCAATATAAAAATAAAAAATAAACACACTGCTTTGTATTTACTCAAGTTTGACATATTAAATTAATAAATTTCATTATTCAAGTTTGATACATTAAATTAATAAATTCTATTACTTAAGTTTGACACATTAAATTAATAAATTTTATTACTCAAGTTTGATGCATTAAATTAATAAATTTCATTACTCAAGTTTGATATATTAAATTAATAAATTTCATTACTCAAATTTGATGCATTAAATTAATAAATTTTATTTGCAAATATATATGCTGTAAAAATTGCAATTAATTGACCAATTGTGGCTATACCACTAATTAATTAATTGTGTTCAAAAAATTGCTATTAATTGCTCTGCAATTATTTTTTCGGTAGGCCTGATCAATATTATGTCTTGTATAATTTTAAATATATATTTATAGATAGCTTTAATAATATAAGATTTCTAGTATTAGCTGTACCCATAATAATAGCATATAAAGGTTCAATTAATTGGTTATCTGAATTTGTTAGAATTTTAGAATAATGTAAAATTATATAATTAAAAATTTGTTTTTGTTTGTCATTTAAGAGTAGAGTATATATAGATCATTTATTATATAATATGCATGGCAAATTTTTTTTGTATAACAAATTACATAGTAAACACAAATCTAATTGGGTAATTATCTGTTTTAGAAATATTTTTACTATATTTTTTTGTATAATCCTAGCAAATTAAAGAAATTTCTAGAAACTTTACACATATATATGTCTATTTTTTAAAAATAATATAGCTTCTAAAGTTTTACTAATATAAATAGAAGGTTTGATTTGGTGAGTATTTTGTATATTTTTGAACTTTATTAACCAATTAGCAATAGTTGTCAAAGTTATCTACTAATTGCTTTATTAGTTTTTAACAAGGATATTGTTCAAAAATATATATTGCTAAATTTAGGTTTATATTTATTCATGATAGTAACAATTAAATTAATATACATAACTATTTTGTTTATTAAATTCTCATCCTAGTACATAGTTTTTTAGTCAAAATTTGGTGCATTAGAAACTTTTTCAATGCTATATACATGCATACTTTTCTAGTATTGCTATTTGTACCAATACTAATAGTTACTAAAAATAAAATTAGGTATTATTATATATTCTAAAAATAATTCAAACTGACATATAAAAAACCAAGTTGCTATATAAGAATTATCATTTAAATTATAATACTATATTTGGATAACTTGTATTAAACTAGCAGCTATATTAGTATTTGGGATAAGATTATAACAATCTGAGCAATATAAATTTGCTATGCTAAATATAAAAAAGATTAACCTATTTGTGCCAATTTGCCTGATTATATCAACAAATTTACTATATATTTTATTTCAATACAGTTATATTTCTCGAAGAGTATTGCCATATCAAACAATTTGATTTGTTAATGAATTATTAGTATGAAGTAATTCTTAAATGTCTTCTACTATAAGATTTGTATTCTCTAAATTTTAATATATATATATTTTGCTGATTTTAAGTATTCTCTATCTTATTATAGAGTTTAATGTAAAATAGTAAAATCTTTTATGTTGTGCAAATCTTCTATTATAATGTTTAATTAAATATTCAAAATATTTAGCTGAATATACTTGATAATATTATTGAGTATTACATAAATCTGCTTTTCCTTTAGAAAATAAATTAGAAATACTTTAGTTATATAGCCAACTTCCTCAAATTCATTTATTGAATTATTTTTAATAGTAAGCTAGTTGATCAGGATATTAGAATTCAAATTTACAAGTTGACTAAGTTCAAAATATGTAGCTACTACTTTGGTTTTTTTAGAAACTGAATTAGGTATAAAAGAATATTTAATATAGTCTTTAGAAGTACTGAAAATATCTTTATTATTTAAATAAGCTATATCTTTATTTAATAGACAATTCATCTATCATCTGGAGAGGATCTGCAAATTTTATAAATAAATTTTACTATTAAGCCAAATGTGGAGAGATTTCTTCAAAAATGTTCTTTCTTACTAAATAAATCACTCTTGAGCTTCTAACAAAAGTTGTAGAGCTCATCAAGACGCATCTAATAGTGGTGAG